GAGAGAGTAAAATGTCCAGTGGAGGCCCTTTGGCCAGCTTCACGGCAAGCGGATTGCAGGGCTGCACCTCTGCCCGTTCACATCCCATTGTGGCGCTTGCATTAAAAAGGTGGAAGAGCAAAGCTTATTTGACATTTACTTCTCTTGCATGTGCGTACGTGTGTGCTTTGAACTTCTTTCTGAACCGTACACAGCCAACCGTGTATTTACGCTGCTGGACATATTCTACCGTTCCCTCTGATGGATATCATGGAAAGCACATGTACAACCGGTTTGTCATAACAGATGTAATAACTTACAGCCCTTCATCAATCCACTGCTGGATGAGGGCCTCCCCCAAACCATTCGTGAGGGTTGTTTTAACCAAACTTAACCACGCTGCTCACTGTCGCTTGGTTAAGCAGGGCAGCACTGCCCTCTATTGCCAACAGCGCCTACAACACCCGACTTTCTGTGTTGGTGGTCGCCCATCCAAGCACTATCCAGGCTTAAGCCTGCTTAGCTTCCAGGGTTTGACAGGATTGGGTGCATTCCAGATGATGTTTCCATCGCAGGGTAGACAATGCCCCTCAAATAGATTTCGGTTAATTGCACAACAAGCTTTTATGGTCGAGATAGCAGTCAACGAAATAATATAATGCCGTAGAATAGGTCAATTCAATATTTATTATTCATTAACCTAAATGAGGCTCATTTTACTAAACATACAAATTCACCGCAGTCTCAGTCCCACATGAGCTGTTCCAGATTTAGCACGTAGGTCCACGCTCGCATTGATTATCCAGTAAGCGATGTCATAACTCTGCCACTAATGTCCGTGTGTGCATTGGTCCATGCGTGGGTGTTTATGTGTTGCGTGGTTTTTGGCACGGCACGGGCTAGAGAAGAGATTGAATGGTGAGGTACGAGTGGACATGGAGCTGAGTGGACTTGCCAATGACTGACGCCAGCGGTGTCAAGATCGGCCTCTGTGGAAGAGGCTCGTGAAGAACGCTGCTGCTGCTGGGCAGTTGGAGGCAACAACGGAGGGCAGAGGAGCGATGCTCACAAGGAGCGCCGGGTGGCTAAACACAGCAAGTTGGCACAATGGGGGTTACAGTGGGGGTCACAGTTCGTGCATCGGCCAATCATCTCAGTCGGTCGACCGCATCTTGCCAGAGAGACCTCGACACTTTTCGTGGCCTCAACGTGCACATAGCCTGGCACAAGCGCTGCGGTGACACCACCGTCACTTCGTGGCGAATGGCGGATGTTGTTGTCTGTGTGCGTATCGGCAGGTCTGTTTTACACAGTTGGCTTAACATAGGTAAAATATATGTTAGTGATAATCGTCATCCGCGATCAATCCCCTGCTAACCCTAACCCCAAATTATCCAGCTTCCTCACAATCCCGCGATGCAACAATGGATCTGCACGCAATCTCATTTCATCATTCCATCTCAGCAGTGGACGTCCTACCAGGCAATGTGAATTTATAATGAATGCTGAATTATTATTTTTAAAAAAAGTCGTCTCAGTCTCCTGCCACTGCATCTTTGGCACCAAACTAATATCCTGTCTGTGCACTGCATAATCGCTATTTCACACACACGTACATACGTCCCGTCCCCCCCCCCACAATGTACTGTACATACCGTATAAACAATGACAGAGAAATGTAATTAAAAACCATTCCACAGAGCTAAACTCCAGGTGGTGCAATATAATCAAGCAAAGCAACACTCGTCAACGCGACGTTTCAGGCAAGCAGCCAGCGGAGTGTTGTTTTGTTGTTGTTGTTGTCTGGAGACCAGCGACGAGCTGCCGACAGATGGGTGACTAAAGATGGCATTTAAAAATAAATTACAGGCCTCTTTGTCAGTCCACACATTGCCGGACGAAGGCCTCCCCCACTCCGCGCCCGTCACAGGCGGTTGCCTGACTGTGGTCAGTTTGCTGATGGCACCTTGGGGACTGTCCCTTGACCTCCTGTCGACGAGCCTTCGGCACTGCACGTGGCCTCAAAGTGCACCCGTCCTGGCACAAGCGCCGTGGTGACGCCACCGTCACTGAATGACGAATGGCAGGTATTGTGGTATTGGTGCAGATTGGTGAAGGGGAGATGGTATGTTGAACTTATTTTGCACCGTACGTAGCCAACCTTGCTAATCGGAGGTGCCACTGATGCTAGCCGTGACCCGGAATTAAACTCGGGGGTCACCATGATAGAGCTATTTTGGGTGAGATCGCGTGAAAATATAATGTGTTGGTAACCCTCCACCACCCAACACCCGACAGCCAATTAGTAAGGTTTGTCACGTAAACAGAACATGCCAATTAGTTACGAGTTCAGCACACCGCTGTGTTGGAGAGTAAACCCACAAGATTTACAATTCGCGCACGACGTTTCGCCGGTAATTACAACCACCCTCATCAGGCTGTCTACGTGACGAACCATACTAATGCGGGTTGTGGCGATGTTTAACGACACATTTATACGTTTACGAGATCCGAGCCAAAAAAACATCTACTGTGGACAATATTGATCGCGAAAGCCGATGACTACGACTACAACGATGACTACTACGTGTTACACTCGGGGTGGGGGGGGGGGTGTGAGGGGTCACCGTTGTGCACGCAAAACGTCTCGGGCATTTGACGAATCTTACCCCCCCCCCAGTGTTGCCTGCTGCGGCGACCAGCGGCGCATCTTCAGCAAACGCCGGGCAAAAAAAAAAGATCGTTCAACAAGAAGCGCTAACCCGTTGCTCGCCCCCCCTCCCGACTCAAGATAATGAGATCACAACATTACGGCGCCGGCCCGCCACCCCAATCCTCCCACCCTGCCTCTCCTCCACACCCCAAGAGAGCGCGCATTGCTTCTGGAGGAAACCCGACATCGCATTCCGATCTCGTCCACCTTCCAAGAACTCGATTCTGACTGAGAACGGGGGTCCAAACCCGCGGTGGGCGAGCGGGAAGGCTTTAACGGGAGCGCGGGATTTAATCTTTCCACAGGGGGGGGAACGTGATATCGATGGGACCTTTTTTTGCCAATGTCAAACACATGATGGAAAAAGAGGACAAGGCTTTAACCGCTCAAGCCCAGCTATTAATGCTTTGATACTTGCATCGCGTTTGAGCCGCTCACCTTTTGGCGTTCTCTGGTCTAACGCCGGCGGTGAGACAAGGTCGTACAGAAGGCTGTACGACCTCAGTTTAAAAAAAATAACGTGTAGATTATCAAAGCGTGTTTTTTGTTTTTGCATGCTTTGTGCCACAAGTTCGTCTGGTTAATGCAGACTTGGTATCTATTTGGTGATTGAGACATCTGCAAGTTGCAGGGGGGGGGGGGGGGGTGTCCCGTTCACTGCTGAATCTGGTTCTGTTTCAATGACGTGCACACGATGACGTACACGTACGTTAACAGACTACACGTACGTCATCGCACGTCATCAGAACGGGAAAGGGTTAACAAGGGGAGTCGTCTCGAAGCGCTATCCACCACCTCGGCAAAAAAGGCTGCTGGAATGAAAGCGTCGACGCGGGCAGCAGCTCCTCCACGCCGCTGCTAAGCCAGCCCCGCTCGGAAGCCGAGACCAGTTCGATGCCCGCAACAGCTGCTGCGGCTACTGGGTCATTTCCGTGGGGGGGTGTGGAGTAAACAATGTGCACCATCTGTCGGCAAGGTGGATGGGCGTACATGTTATGTAATCGTTCTTGAGAGCTTTTCTCGAGAGAGAGGGCGCTTGACCTACAATTTCACACCGGCCGGTCGTCCTGCAAAGGGGTGGGAACACCCCGCACGTCTAGCCCGCCGCACGCGACCTGCCGATCAATTCGCCGCGGTGCGCTCATCTACGCAGCCGAGTCGACGGAGGCAGCGGGGAGACCTCATCGGAATCAGAATCCGTATCTATCCTGGGGAAATTCGATGAGCCTTGAAGCTCTTTTTCACAGACGTCCGGTCGGGGCCGCGTCAGAAAGCTGTTCCAGCTGCCATGCCGGGAGATCGAACCGGCGACCTCTGGATTTCCAGTCCGTGTACGCCAACCGTTAAACCGCCAGATTCAATCGAAAATGCGACCGATTGACAGCCCTCACCCGGGTCACCCCCTTTGAAAAAGAACACCCAGATAAATATGATCAAACGGTGAGAATAAAAAAAACACAGAACTGTGAAGCCTCGACCAGTGTCAGCAAGGGGCACTTCGAGGAGCTTTCAAAGACGATGTCCTTGCAGGTACGTATCATCCAGAAACTCTTAGAAACTCTCCAATGAGGCACCGTGTACTTCGCCTACAAGGGTTTTGCCTGCAGTGTCTACATTGCCTGCAGATCCTGTGACGGTGAGCTCGGCTGCCATGGAATCTCAGCCAGATAAATACATCACCGCGAAGTAGATACCGTCATTTGCCGAAATAGGTTTGCCATTCGGCTTATAACTGAAGGAGAACATTTCGAATGAGTAGGATAAGCAACAGGTAAACAACAACAACAACAACAACAACAAAAACCCATCAGCAATAAATAATTCCTTATTACAAAAAGACAAGGTTGTTTGATGGGAGGACACGAACTGGCCTGGCTAGCGGGCAGAAACAAATTAATGGGGGTGATTAGTTGAGTGATTGCCATGCAGTGATTGCTGGTTAGCGACGCACACTGACGGGTGGCTAAATGACAATCTTTCTCGAATATTTGTCCACCGTCCGTCCTTCCGCACCGGAGTGGGCGCGTTCGCCGCACGCCGCACGCGAGGCCGCGGTGCCGAGGCACCGTCAAGGGCACCGGAGGATCCCTTCCCCCAACCCCCCCTTCGTTCGGTGACTGGCGCATAAAGAAAAAAAGGCACCAGAGATTCTGGAGAACACACATCCGCGTCTCGCCTGTGGCGGTGCGAAGAGTTGGTGGGTGGGGTGGGTGGACGGTGGGTGGACGGTGGGGGGCAGGGTGGTGGGGGGGGAGGGTGGTGGGAGGGAGGGTGGGTGGGGAGGGAGGGAATTCCACGTGCCACTTACCGGCACCTTCGTGCGCTGAGGCCTCCTGCTCGGAGGTGCCGAAGAGGAACTGGTGCTTGGCCTGGGCGATCTTGCGTGCCCGAGGGGACGTCGCCTCTCCCACCCACAGGAAGGTCTCCACCTGCACAGCGTCGTCATAACCAGCCGTCGTTGTTAGGGATCGTCCATAAATGACGTCACGCGATTTTGGACGATTTTTGACTCCCCCCCCCCCCCCCCTCGTCACACGGCGTCACAAAAAGTCAGACCCCCCCTCAAACGACGTCACAAAGCTCTGCCCCCCCCCCCAAACCATATTTCCATTTTGAAAATAAAACATGCTTCAAATCGCTTTAAACTATTGTCATTGTAGTGCGTACTTAATGTGGCGCTGCACTCTGATGCTGTAGGAGTGTTGTTATAACAATTCTATATTTATTTAAAGTTGCGCATTTTGATGTGACGTGACATTTCTTCCCCCCCCCCTCGTCACAAATGTCTGACCCCCCCCCCCCCCCCTAGGTGCGTGACATCATTTATGGACGGCCCCTTATCGTCTTTATCATCATCATCGTCGTCGTCGTCGTCCCCTTCGTCCATGTCATCACGTCATTTTCGTCGTCGTCATCGCCGGCATCGTCGTCACCGTGATCAGTATTTGCCACCACATCGTCACGATCATGTTTTCGGCACACGAGTACGATTGTCATCACCATCAACATTGTTGTCATTACCATTGTCATCATTACTTTCAATATGATCATTGCTATCATCACCACCATTATTACCGCCACGGTTAACAAAATGTTTAACTTAATTCGTTCATAAAGGACATTTAGACGACATTGCAAAAAAAACTCAATGCAGTCGATTTTTAATTTAGTGCAACTTTGTTATTATTTTTAAGCAGCATCTCGAAACTTTTCAAACCGCTCCTCTCATACAAACAAATCGTTTGGTGCTGTCACATTGCCAGCGGCGCATAACCACAATTAACAACAACAACAAGGCATTCGTCAATGGCTTTAAAGGAAGAAAAAAACTACAGACACGTAAAATCGATGACATTTTGGACACTGGCCCTTCCTCTGAATGTACCTGCTGTGAAGACGACACGTCGCCTCTTCTATACACAGTACATATTTCCTCGTCAGACCACAACAGTCGATATATTTGATGAACGCATCGAGTTTTCCCCCATACATGCGGATATACATACAGAGCGCACCCACCCACCAGAGGTCGCAACCGGGTACCCGATACCCGTACCCTACCCGATACCCGGCTGCGACCCTGGTGCGGCCGGGTACGGGTACGGGTAGGCCGTGAGTCACTGGTGAGTCAACGTTTGTCACTCATTTCCCAACGTCTTGTCTCTTCTCACAATTCAAGTTCCTAGAATCAACCCACCCGCGCCTGCAAACATGGCTTCATCCCAGAGGCCGCAATCGGGTACCCGATACCCGTACCCTACCCGATACCCGGCCGGGTACGGGTAGCCGGGTATCGGGTAGGGTACGGGTAGCTGTTTTCGACCCTGGTGCGGCCGGGTACGGGTACGGGTAAGGAATCAAAACTCGTTTGCGACCTCTGCCACCCACTCGCTCGCTCGCTCGTCCCTTTAAATCCCCGCGCGTCAATTCCCCGACGACACATTCCGGATGCCGAATGCCCCCACCCCCATTCCGTCGTTCCGCGCCCAAAACGAGAGCCGAGCTCGTTTCGTGCCACGACGACTCTCACCGCGGCGACGGAAAAGTGCCGAGGAGTCACGGGCGGCCACCCACGAACTCACCGAAGCTCGGCCAACGATTTTGAATCCGGCGTTACGTGAACGGACAGCTGGGACGCATGCCGAATCACGGGGAGGGAACGGGGGGAGGGGGGGTGTCAACACGCACCCGGACACGGGAGCGTAACTTGCGCGCAGCAAGGGGGGGGAGGTAATGGCAACGGCGTGACCACTTGGCGTGGCTTCTGGAAGGGTGTCCCACTTCGCGTAGGTGTGTCTGTGTGTGTGCCTGTGTGTGCGTCTGTGTGTGTGTGCGGGAGCGGTAGTGTAGCGGTTAGCGCGCTGCGCTATGAACCTGGCGACCCGGGTTCGATTCCCGCTCACGGCTAACACCAGTGACGATTATCTGAACCGGTCCTGGGCCTCCCCTAGGTCGACTCAGCCTTAAACGAGTACCTGGTACGGTGTGTAAACATCGCCACTAGGGAGACAAAGGCGGTCGGGCGTGGTGCTGGCCACCCACCCCCTCGTGTACCGTTCCGGCCTTCATAGGTGCTCGCTAACAGCACTTGCCCCTACAGTCTGTTCAGGCTATACGGGGGATCTTTGTCTTTTTGTGTGCGTGTGCCTGTGCGTGTGTCTGTGTGTGTCTGTGCGTGTGTCTGTATGTGTGTCTGTGTGTGTGCGTGTGTCTGTGTGTGTGTGTGCGTGTCTTTCTGTGTGTGTCTGTGCGTGTGTCTGACTTTCTGTGTGTGTCTGACTTTCTGTGTGTGTGTCTTTCTGTGTGTCTGTCTGTGTGTCTGCCTGTGTGTGTGTCTGTGCGTGTGTGTCTTCCTGTGTGTGTGTCTGCCGGTGTGTGTCTGTGTGTGTATCTTTCCGTGTGTCTGTGTCGTTCTGTGTCTGTGTGTCTTTCTGTCTGTCTGTGCGTGTGTATGTCTGTGTGTGTGTCTGTGTGTCTGTCTGTGTGTGTGTCTATCTGTGTGTCTTTCTGTCTGTCTGTGCGTGTGTCTGTCTGTGTGTGTGTCTGTGTGTCTGTCTGTGTGTCTGTCTGTGTGTGTGTCTGTCTGTGTGTGGCCGTGCGTGGTGTTGGCCACCCACCCCCTTCGTGTGCCGCACCGGCTCTTTATAGGTGCTCGCTAACAGCACTTGCCCCCACAGTCTGGTCAGGCCATACGGGTGATCTTTGTGTGTTGTGTGTCTGTGTGTAGACCGCTTGTATTGCGTGTTATTATTGGGGCGCGTGGCGTCGGGGGGGTGGGGTGTGTGAGACCGGTTTTTTTGGGGCGGGGAACAGGAAAGGTCAGCTGAGTGCACGGAGCCCCAAAGTGAGGAGTGGTCACCGTGAGGAGCCCACAGTGAGGAGTGGTGGTCACCGTGAGGAGCTCCAAGTGAGAAGTGGTCACCGTGAGGAGCCCCAAGTGAGGAGTGGCCACCGTGAACCCCAAGTGAGAAGTGGTGGCCACCAGAGGTGTGGACTCGAGTCATGTGACTTGGACTCGAGTCAGACTCGAGTCATGAATTTGATGACTTCAGACTCGACTTGGACTTGCATAACAATGACTTTGTCCCACCTCTGAGGTGTGGACTCGAGTCATGTGACTTGGACTCGAGTCAGACTCGAGTCATGAATTTGATGACTTCAGACTCGACTTGGACTTGCATAACAATGACTTTGTCCCACCTCTGAGGTGTGGACTCGAGTCATGTGACTTGGACTCGAGTCAGACTCGAGTCATGAATTTGATGACTTCAGACTCGACTTGGACTTGCATAACAATGACTTTGTCCCACCTCTGGTGGCCACCTTGAGCCCACGATGGTGTTGGGCCAAAGACCGCGTCCAGGCTCCATTGTCGCGCGGGGAATTTTTATGTTTTTGTTTTTAAATCCCAAGCGCTCGACGCTCTCTGCGCTCTTTTGCCCCGCGCGTGCCTCTCGTTCTTGCATTCCATTTCCAGTAACAATTACGGAGGACATTTCGGCATTCGTGCCGTTCTCACGGCGCAAGGCTATTCCCCCTCGCCCACACCCCCCGCGAAGGCGCTGGGTTTTTTTCTCCTGCACGATACTGGAGTCTGCTCGTCCACTGGTTGCTATCTGCCTTTACCCAAACTTGATTTGAAGCTTTCGTGACTGCGGGGATTACTCTTTGGTTCTTTCGGTAAAGTCACGTAGGTATAAAATAAATAAGTCACGATGTTTCGGGCGCAACACAAGCGTCCGTCATCAGGTGGGGAAAGCATGGTCTGCTGCTGAGGCAGACTGTTTAAAAAGGTTTGAAATGGGTGTAGCCCAAGGGTCATAAAGAAGTGGCCGGGGCTAGTTATGTTAATGTGAGAAATTATAATTATGTTAATGTGAGAGATTAGCATGTCACTTAGTTATACTTTATTGTCTTTCTCCGTGACTTTGCCTTTACCCACTTCAGTAATTTGCAAGGCATTATTTTTGGAAATCAAATTTTCGTCCGTGACTCTGGCCACACATTGGCCGACTTCTCTTTCGAATAGCGTCGCAGGGTCGTTGAACAGTCCAGCACAAGGGCCGACCACTGCATATCGCACGCATGTGGAACTTCTTTTGCGCCGTACGTAGCCGAGCGTGCGAATCGCACCGCTTGCGACAAGCTGCGTGGGTCGTGCGTGGCTGGCTGATGCCCCAAGCCAGGCTGCGTTTTCTCCAAATCAGTATTTTGGTGGAAAAAATGCGTCGAGTAATATGAATTTTCATTTCCATTTCACAAAATCCGGTGTCATTCCTCGCAGCAGCAGCAGCAGCTTTTGGTTAAACTGTCGAACGAAGACGGTCACCGCATCGCCGTGCTTTTCCGATGCACTTCTGAGGCCGTCTGGAACGCTCTTCCGATATTAGGAAGCCACTGGAGCTATACACTTTTAAATCATCATCTAGATTGCAAACTGATTTCTTGAGAACTGCTTTTTGTATTTAGGTAGTCGTCCTTCCCCTCGTACCTCCAATTAGCATGGTTGACTACGTACGGTGCGAAAGAAGTTCAACACACGTACATACTTATATAACTGGACTAAAGAATGCACTGTAAAGCCATGCTTGCAAATTCCATAACACTGAACTTGGCATCTCGGTGAATGTAAACAGTCTACCGCATAATTTCATTGAGACGTGTTCAGGACTGAACGGCACCAGACGTGTAACGATGCCAGCACAGACAAGCCTTCATCGAGCAGTTAATAGAGCATGGCTTACGGTGAGTAGACACACCATGCAAGATGGCCAATTGCTCAACTCTGCAATTTTAAGCCATTTCGCTTCAAGGCATGGCTCAAATTCCAACTCCGATGCCCCCGTGTGTAAAGACCACTTTCGGAAATGTCTCTTTACACCCCCGTCATCCTCATACGTACGGAGAAAGACGACATCTCGCGATTTAA